ATGAAAAACAATTGAAAAACATTGTCTGGGGAGTAAGTATGTGACGCGGAGATAAGTTATAATATTTGGTTGCGAAATAATTTTGAAACATTGGAGTCTACATTCTCTCCGCGTAGTGGAGAGGGAAATTTTACTCTGGGGGAATTGGTCCGCGACACGGATCTGGTACCTTATTTTCTGTCTGATCTTTTCTTACTCGTTTATCGACCCTAATTCACCTAGAATCAAATGCTTTCTTTCCCAATCACTTCGATTCGAATACTCAACTGATGTACATGATAATCTACTCCAAACTATCCTCAATTCACTAAATTTTATCTCAAGAACTCATCAAACCCATCATAATTCAATCAAATTCTTCAACTTGAAGAACGAAACTTCTCTTAAAATAACATGATTGAAATGTGGATGAATGAAGCCAACACTATGAGAACTCACATACCTCTTAGGGATCAAACCCTTGGCTAAACGACCTTCGATTTTGCAAGAACTTGATGAACTCCTTGACTTTTCTCCTCTTTTCTCTTCTTGAATTCTTTTTTAAAACCCTAGCATAAATTAGGATTGTGTAAGCTGAACTAAATCAGTTTAGACCCCTAATTAACTACTAAAAATGAATTAAATCTGATAGGGTAAGGAAAAGACCAAAATACCCCTCATATATTCGGGCAACTTTCCTTAACTGGACTGCCCAACTTCAAATGGGCATATCTCCCTCATAAGAGCTCGAAGATTAGCAAACTCGGTGGCGTTGGAAAGAGGATTCCAAGAACCTTCATTTAATATCTTGTGGGTCACCTAACTCATCAGGTACTGAAAGTTATGGTCATTTAAAGTTAATCCAAAACTCACAACTTAAGCATAACTTGTAAAATTTCAAATTAGCTTCTTTCCAAATCAATTCTTTCTATTTTTAGCTCTTTCTGAGGCGGGATGTTACAGTAAATATGTGGTACATCAATTGTAAAAATCCCACAATAATGAGATAAGGTTACTTTCATAGTATCTCACAAGTTTTTTTTTAATTATGTTAAGCTTTCATTGATCATGATTAAGACTTATATTTTCGAACCTTTTTATCTTTTGATGTAGCTTGGTCATTGCATGTCATGTAAAGTCCTTTTAGGATGATTTCATAACTCTTATGCATTTCTATCATACTTAGTACATTCCATGTACTAATGCATACTTGTGACTACAATATTTCACTAATGTAGGGTCTGATGCTCCTACTTCTCATACTCGTGGATAGTTGATCTCTTGGCATACGAAGATTGGTGAGTCCTTATGTTTCGAAGACCGAGAGACTTTTACATGCTTTACTTTACTTCAATTTTTAGAAATTTGTATATGGTTTATGGGTTATGTCCTAACCAATTTTTTTTATGTAATAGATGACTTGTTGAGACTATGTTAGACTTCCGCTTTGTCAAACTCTTTTATGATATAAGACTGTTTCTTTTGAAATCTTTATTTCTATTATCTTGTATAATGTTTGTTAAGTGGCTTGTGTAGGGCCTCTCGGGGTTCTAGACACCATGTTACGCCTTGGGTATACTTTGGGTCGTGACACCTAAGTTTACTATTCAAACAAATGAATGCTTTGAAAAGGATTTATGGGTGAAAAGTTAGGGGTAATTTGGCTCAAGAGGTTTCAATACGGTTGTCAACAAACGATTTAGGTTTAAATGGTGCAAAAATGGTTGCACACCCTCACATGGTAGTCATGAAAAGGGTATGAACATTTGGGTTCCTCTAAAAAGTTTTGCCCAGATCATTCCTTGCATTCACCAAACCTAGATGATTAGAGTAACAGAGACAATTCTAGGATTCAACAAGCATGCTTTCAAGTAAAACCTTACCACACACGACACTTCAAACACATTTATTGAGCATAGCCTGACAATTCAAAAGCTTATGTGCGATGCTCATTGCAAGACTCACATCAAAACGCTGTTAGTCAGCATAAGATTCATAAAGATAATTCTAAAGTGCAGCCACGTCGAATTATTCTTGTGTTACCAACACTAAACACAATGCTCATCATGATTATTATCCAAGATATTAATATTGAACACAATCGATCCTCGAATGATTGCCAATGAAACTCAAGCATTTAAAAGATTTGTAAAACTCATGGGGAAAATGAAAATGGAGAGACAAGATGAGCTAAACCATCAAACCACTATAATAAAACAAAAAATAAAAAAATACTACAATGTGCAGTTCTAAGTTAGTAGGACAGTACTGTGACAGGAGTTTACCTTGTTAATTGTGTGGTGTGACTATATGTGAGTAAACTGACTGTGTTTGGTATGCACTCACATTCACGCCATATGTATTTGGCATGGTTTGAGTTAGAAATGGAAGAAGCTTATATTTTAGACCTTTTAACGGGCTTGTCACCATTTTTACTTGTTTTGGGCTCCAAGGGAGAATATTACTTGTTTTACTCTAGGAGAGTGGAAATTTTGAAAGGATTTACACTATTTGCTAGGGTTTTCGTCCTAAAGAGATATTTACTTTAAAATTAATTGTTTTACCTAGGATATTTCAATATTTCGAGGAAAAATGCAAGTTTTATAAGAGTTTTGCACTACATGGGTATTTTATGTTAAGCAAAAGAAATTCTATGGTTTTTGATTAAAGGATGGGTTGTTTTACTATTATAATGATCAACTCGAGGAAGTATTCTGGGCGGCCCAAAGAACTATTCTGAGTTTACCCCTTTTACTGATCATCTTACGAAAGCATTCTCTGTAGTTCGAGGAACTTTTCCGAGTTATATTTCGTGTATTTCACCAGTTGTCAAGTCCGAGAGATCATTCTGGGTGGCAAGATGGATTTTGTGGGACTACTTTTATGCAATTCCCACATGTGCATTGCATCATCTTGCATTATGTGTCTAATTGTGATTTACTTATTTTGGATATCGAATGCTTATTATTTTATTATCTTCACTGTCAATAGTGGATGAAATGTTTCTAGTTAGCGTCTGAATTGTAGTGTTAGCATTATCATGTCTTTTTTATTTATACAGTTTCTATTTGATCTTAGTTGGTCTATGATGCCTACCGAGTACCCCATATTTTGGTACTCATACTTCACTTAAACATTTTTTTTTCTGATGCAGCTCCTAGAATGAGCCACCCCCGCTGATTCCAAATCTTCCAAGGCCATCGTTGTTGGATCGCGATGAGCTTGTGGTGTCTGCGGATATACTTTCTTTCCTCTATTATACTATCTATGTATTTTATATTTTGATTAGGCAGAACTATTGTGTATCATTATTTATGTAGTTAGATGCATTTGTACCTGTGACATAAGGTCAAGGGCTTGGTTCTTATGTACATTTTTGTCTTTCTTTATCATTTTTGGGCCCTTTCAATATATTTTCTGTTGCTATATACATATATTTGCTATGGGCCCTACTCTTTGTCTATTTTTCTTCTGTGTTGTCTTACTTTAAGTTATTTTAATTATCATTTGTAGTTTTGGTTTGGCTTTCCTAGTGTGGATTTATGGCGGGTTGGGACACAATTTTAGTTTAGGATAGATCGATAGTACTGATGAGTACATGTGTTTCCCTTACTCACTCTATTATGATCATATGGATGAGTACAAGTGTTTCCATTACTTACTCTATTCTTTTTTCACCTTCCATTTGCAAATTCTATTCTCAGTACTCACGCTTGGAAAGGAATATTTGAGCATTAATGCTATCAATTGGAGTTATTGGGATGAGTTTCTTCGTTGATCCACATAATTAGATTTTACCTTATTTTTTGTGGTTAACACATTGGTGTTATAATAGTATAGTTATAAAACAACATTAGCCTAAAGATAATTCTTTATCTGGCCCCCTCCCAAATAATTCTCTAGACCTCTTATCCACTATATCTGTCAAATTTCAATATTAAAAAACAATCAAATTTAGTGAAATCCAGTAAGAGCGCCCTTGTTTCTTCGGCTCTTGTTACTGTCAATCATCTTTTTCTACCAAGATTAGTCCTTTATCATAAAGACATCCTCGAATCTAATCTATACATATCTACCAACAACTAAAAATGAAAATAATTTGAAAAAAGAGTGGATTATGAATACATTGATTATACAATGAATTCAGAACTTATGTTCAAACTATAATCGAATATATTATAAGTACGTATAAATATTATACATTAAAGATGCACTAATATTATATCAACTATTCATTATTATGAATTAAACACTAGTGATAAAATCTATTTTCCACAATTGAAAATATCAAATTTAGCAAGTAACTAACAATTGCTTAGTATTGCTTAAAGACTAGAATAATCATCAAGTCTTCATCGTGAGGCTACTAACAACTTTATAGTTTCTTTGGAACACCATCTATCCCGTCAAATTCACCCACATAAAATTTTCTTTCATGAGTAATCATTAAAACTCATTCAAACAACTTAAATCCATTATCTCTACCAAAATTTCATCATCTTGAATAAAACTCTGTTATAGCAATTCAAATTTGACATCCCTTATCAATAACTTAAAATCCAAAATCATTTCAAAGATATGGAGTGATAGAGGATATGAAGGGGATGAAAAATAAGAATAGAGAAAGTTTAGAGAAGAAAAAATGGGGGATAATAAAAAAAATGATTAAAGAATAAGAAGAACATATATAGGAGCGAAAAAACAGAAAGAGTTATAGGTGAAAATTGTGATATTTTAGATATGACTAATTGTTTTGGATAGTTTATAAATACTTAAGTTTTTTAAAATGGTGATCCATATACAATTAAATACTTGAGCATGCACATGGAATACAATATGTATCAAATATAAACAAATTTCTAAACGAATATGTTCACTTTTCCAACAGAATAATAACCTTCATAAATAATTGAAATAAAAATACAAAATCACAAAATAAATTTGAAAATGAAATAAATCAATAGAAACTATTAAATACCAACAAAAAAATATAATAATAGAACAACACAAGCATTACATTATCAATCAAGGTCCTTGGAATGTCCATTATCTCCGGCACTGATGTCATCACCTTCAATTGGGGAAGAATCGATATTGTTTCCATCCCCTAAGTCAAAGTAATGGTGATTAGTAGACATAGTCTCAAAAAACCACATGTCATTGATCAAATCATCCATTGAATTTGGTAATAGGGTAGCATTTTCATTTGGGAACTTGATGTTTGAGGGAGAATTTTGAGGTTGAGAAGACTGATGTTGTTGATTGATTTTTTCCTTTCTCTCATAAAGTTTAGCTATCTTAGTATTAGACAACTTTAATAAACCTTGGATTTCTCTAGCAGTAAGTTCAGCGATATTCTTTCCCTCCACAAGTTGATTGAAGAGGATTTCCATTTCCTTCTCCTCATTCATTTTTTCTATTTTCTCAATTTTTTCTTCTTTCTCATCCACTTTCTTTGAAAGATACCTTTCATGTATCATTAATTTTATAATCCTTTCTTCCTTAGTAAACTTTGAATACCTCACTAATACCTCCTTAGCAAGATCTGTAGATTTCCAAACAATAGGTTGGATTTCTCCCGGGCTAAAAATAATTATAGCAATATCGATATCACATAAAATAGAAAACTCTTCTGCTTTCTTAAATAAACTTGTTGTTCTTTTGTCTAGAAGGGAGCTTCTTACATTTTCACTATCGTTCCTAGTATTCCTAAGCCTCTTTCTATCCATATTTGATACCCAAATATAAAAATCACTCTCTTTGGGAGTAGAATACATAAAATGTGAAAAGGTATGCAACTTTTATAGATGTCTATCATGAATTGCTACTAGTGACTATCAAGAAATATTAAGTTTATTGAGACATTTTTGTTAAATTAATAATTAACTAATTATCGTAATCTGATTCCAAGAAAAATATTATATTTTTTCCTTAAAAGTTTTATATTATGAAAATTCATTTTACATAATTATTTTTGGAGTTAAAAAGTGCAAATAATTAACTTATGGCACAGTAATATTTTGTTGAAAACTTTCTCTATGAAAAATATGTTAGTATATTCTTAGAAAATATTTTTGGATCATATTTCAAACGGATTTTTAAATATGTTTTAGTTTTCCAATCCATATGAAAAAAGTATGAAATTTATAGATTGATGATAATTTTTTTAATTAAAGGTTAAGACTATTCTACTGATTGAAATAAGTCATGATATATGAGTCGAGAACTCAGAAAACAGAAGTAATTCATTCTTCAAAAATAAGTGATTTCATGGAAATTATTTATTATTTTTTGGAAATAAATATTTCAAAATTAAGCTGATCGAATACAAAAAAAGAGAGGGGTTTTCTAAAAATATTGTCCAAAATGTTCAAATACATCGACCTCTAGTATATTATAAGTTACATATAGCTGGTGCACTAAAGTTTTTGGTATTGTCAGGGGATATCTCAAATTTAATGGTAGTGTGAAGTCAAGAGTACTTCCATTATTAATTATCGATGGATTTATTGTGTTATTTGACTAAACAAATTAAACCTTCAATTATTTCAAATGTTCTTTTTTAACTCATCAATTATTGATCACTCCATCATTTAATTAATCATGTGTGATGTTAAGCTTATAATGATACTACATATTTCAAGGTAATTTTTTTTAGAAGAGCCCAAATATAACACATTTTCTATTTAAGAGGATTAAAGACACACATTTGAATTAATCAAAGCTTAAATATGCCTATTATACAATAAAATGACTAAGATTAAAATTTATTAATAATTGAGATATTACAGTTTAATTTTTCCCAATAATTTTCTTATTTAGGTATTTTAAGTAATTGTCTAAGACTAATGGTCCAATATTAATGACATTACCATTTTAGACTCCTAAATAGTATCTTATCAAATAAGATATTATTTTAATATTTTTACCTATTTTAATCATACAAACATGATATGATTTTAATATTTTACAATGCATAATCATATAACTATGAATTTTCTATATTACAAGAATAAAAATAAATATTTATTTATAGTTAGAGAGGGAAATACGTTATTATCACAAATAATTTTCCATTTTAGACATTTGAAATAATCTTCTAAGACTAAAATGATCAATTGGTAATGACATTACCATTTTAGACTCCTAAACATTATGTAGTCCAATGGGTAATATTTTAATACTTTTACCTTTTAAATTATTCAAACTTCATATGCTTTTAATATTTTTCCATTCATAATTATATAAGTATGACTTTCCTACATTACAAAAAATATCAATTATTTAGAGAGTAAAGTGTTATTATCCTCAATAATTTTCTTATTTAGGCATTTGTAGTAACCACCTAAGGTTAAAACAATCAATTGATAATGACATTACCATTTAGACTCTTAAACAATAGCTAGTAAGTTAGATAATATTTCAATACTGTTGCCATTATTAATCATACAAATAATATATGCTTTTAATATTTTACCATTTATAATCATATAATTATGAGTTTTCTAGAATAGTTATTCTATTCTTCATGTAAGGAAAAATTAATTATTTGTCAAGCCCCAAAAAAGTTGATGTACCTCAAGTCATGATGACATCTGCTAAATCCCACTAATTGGTTAGCCAAGCTTAAGTTTAGAATGGAGGTAACAAGCCTAGAAAGTAGAAGCACCAACAAAAACAAGAAACAAGGCAACAAAAGAGGTAACAACATAGAATCACATAAACCAACATATATACATGTATCGAGCGAGGACAAAAGATACGAAAGATCCATCCCAAAACATGGTGGACATCGTTTGTCACGATCCGAAACCTCGAGTCATGATGACACCTACCGTACCCCATTAGTAAGTAAGCCAATATGTATCTCAGAATAATAAGTAACAGGCGTGTCGAGTAGAAATAACAAACAATTAAAGATAAACAAAGCAATTCAAAGGAAAACAACTGAAAAAGGGAACAATAAAAATATATACAAATCAACAAAAGATCCAATCCAAGGACATGGTGGACACAAGTACAGAGCTACTAAAAAGAATACAAGTCCCAAAAGTGGAACAAAATACATACTTGTGGACCACTTCTGGTAGCTTCTCAACTACCTGATCAAGTATTGTAACGACCCAAAAACTAGTAGGTGGAACTAGAGCCTTACGAGTGTGTTGTCAAGTTGGATGTGGGGTATAGAAGTGTAAAACGACTTTTTGAGCTTAGGTTGAGGTGTTTAGGGGTTAAACGTCAAGATACGACCCCCCAAGGACCAACCAAGGGTCCTTGAGGAGGACCCTAAAGCCTAACCCAAGACCCCAAAGAACTCAAAAACTGTCCAAAAGAGGGCCACCTACGGATGGCACCTAAGACCAGTAGGTGGACCCACGCCCCGTAGGTAGGGGTCGTGGGTCAGGCCCTAAAAAATAAGCCTCATCCCTGACCTACGGACCAGCAGCACGACCCGTAGGTCCACTCATGATCTGTGAGTGGTGGGCGTGAGTCAAGTCTGCAATTCTGTCAAATCTCGGCCAACAGATGGGTTAACTTAGGTAATTCATTTTTAAGTTGTTTTAAGTAAGGGTTGTTTAATATACTATATATATATATATATAAAGTATTTTAATTCATTAAACACCCCCTTAATTCATTATAACCCAAGACCCCAAATCAAATCCCAAATACTCTCCTCCCAAAAAATTCTCTCTCTAAGACTCCATTGAAGAGCAAGAACAAAATCAAGCTAGGGTTTCAAGAAGCAGCCTTTATTCTTCAATTTAGTGTGGAAATCTTCATAAGGTATGTAAGTTTTCATTCTTGGATAGCTATCACCCAAGGTGTCCCTTCAAAAGCTTTTATGTCAAATCTATAATTCTCCAAATAGCTAGGGTTTCAACTTAACCCATGAATTCCTTTCAAGGTTTCTTTTAAAGGTTGAATTATATTTGTTTATGAATGTATTACTGATTTTATATGATTTTAACTCGAATTCCTCAAGAATCCATGAGTTCCCCAATCCTAGCTATGGTTCTTCTTTACATTATGAATGTTGTTGCAAGTTGATCCAAATTGATTGGGTGTGAGTAGATTATGATGTGATTGCATGATTTTGATATGATTCTACATGTATACTTGACTAACCTAAGATTCTGGGGTGAAATTGATGTGGCCTAGGGTTATGTAATGAAAGTGGCAAATTGAGGGTTCAAATGTGACCGTCTAAGATTGATGAACTTCATGGTAAATTGCCTTAGATTAGATCAGCTAGACATGGATTGCTTATAATTAAAGCTTGTAGATATGAACTAACTTGATTAGGGCTTACATGATGAATCATGGTTGAAGTGGTATTGAGATTTATTTTACTTGATGCTATATGGCTATAATTGAGTAAGAATGAAGCATGTGGCTATGTTTACCTTGAGAGTTAGGTTTACATGATGACCATGTGAGGTATTACTTGAGAGTAATGATTGTAGTATGAAGATGAATCTTAAGGGCTTTAATAGTAAAAGCTAATATGAATAAGTTAAGGATGTCAAAGCTTAGAGAAGGAAGCTATTATGTATGTTGAATTGTAGATGGAATTATTTTGAAAGGACTTCATCCACATGATATATAATATAAGTGTATACATGGAATGATTGTTGTAATTGAGTTATGACTGTATCTATGTCTCATATGGTGAATGCTAGATGTGTAACATGATCCTTAAATGCAAGATATGAGGAGTATGCATGATTATGATGTTATGCGCATGTTTTATGAACACTTAGAGCGTTGAGTGTATATGATGATAATGTTGTTGTTGTGTCATTGAAAGGACAATCACACACACACACCCCATGCATGAACATGACTATGATGTGTCTAAGGTATTGTTGAAAGTCTAATTCTCATATGCACCCTCACACATGACTATGCATGAAGATGTATATTTATGATAAGCTTGTTGTGTTGATTGAAAGACTATTCTCATGAACACACTATGAATATGATGTGAAAGGTTTACTCACATGTTGATGATTCTAAGGTTGAAAGGACATTCTCACCTAATGAATCAATGAGCTATTATGCTACTATGTTGGTTTGAGTGCCTAGTGCATTCTTTCATGAACATAAACTTAAGTAAAGACTTAGTATGAATTTTAAAGGGAATTATGCTTAGGACTAAGTGGATATGAAAATGAGATGGAAGCTTTTACGTTAGAACGTCCGGCTTCCCAATGTAAGTTATCTCATGAGATAGGAACCTTTTACGCTAGTAGTCTGTGTTTCTAGTAGCAATCTCCATATCCCATAACTATGTGCCCACATAGGTCTTTATCTAGTGGATCCACCTAAACGCTAAAATGAACGTTCTACCTTAGGCAAGTAGGACACCTCTTTTCGGTGTGGAGGTAGAACACCGGATTCCATGTAGCTCAACATGGTCTATGTCAGTTAAGGCTATTTCTCTCTATGATTAGAATATAAATTATGATAAGAACATGATTTATGTATTATGTTTCCTCAAGAGGTTCTACTTAGTATGAGTGGGGGTATTGGACTTCACTTATACATTGCACAAGTGAACTTTGAGAGTGGGCATGGTATGTCTCTCTTATGATATGATGATTATGAGTTAAATGTATGCTTTGTATAAATTATGAACATGGACTATACTTATGACTTCTTAATGAGCTTTACTTAGTGTGAGTGTGGGTATGTGACTTCACTTATACATTGCACAAGTAGACTT